TAAAGCTTTTAATTTATTTTTTGCAGATTGGATTGGGGTGGCATTTTTGACGTGCAACAATGATCTAATTTGCTTGAATGTTCATTTTTGTTTGATAAGGATACACATACTTTGTGGAGTTACACAGTTATTGTTGGATTTTTGGTAATTGAACAAGTTATAACTTTGGATATTTTGTGATATTTCACTATTTTATTGTATTAGGATGAAATTATTTGTGATGATGAATGGATATTTTCATTTTGTTAATTCGTAACTGTGTTGATAACAGGTTAGGTTAAGTTGTGATGGGATTGTTATATTCAACAGGTTTCAACATGAACAGGGTTATATTTGTTGAATTAAAATTTAGATTTTGATAAAATAGGTATATAATATGGAAAAAAATATTATGAAATTATTGACAAAATTTTTCATCCCTAAAGAAGGTTCTTTTGTCTCTTATTTTGCTTAGGTGGATGATTAATTTTGTCATGAATTTTTTATTTCGTCACTAAATGCATTTGACGTGACAAAAAATATTGTCACATTTTGTCACTATTATCCTCAATGTGTGACGAATTTTTTTTGACATTATTTTATCATTTTTAATGATGAATTTGTTTTTGTCTCTATTGGTAGCTTCTTTGACAAACAAATTTCGTCTTCGTTTATATTAAATGTGACAAAATTATTTTGTCTCCATTTCTTATATTTATGACAAAATAATTGTGTCTCTAATTTCTCCTTTAATGACAAAATATTTTGTCGCTAATTATGTAAATGCATGTCTTATCTGATGGGTTTATTGTTATTATTTTGAGGGCGTTACAAAAATATTTTGTCGCTAATTACTTACAAGTATGTTCCCAACAGAGTGTATTTGAGACAAAAAAATTCGTCACAAATTTATCATTTTTAATGATGAATTTGTTTTTGTCTCTATTGGTAGCTTCTTTGACAAAATTCTTTTGTCTTCGTTTATATTAAACGTGACAAAATTATTTCGTCTCTATTTCTTATATTTATGACAAAATATTTTTGTCTCTAATTTCTTCCTTTAATGACAAAATATTTTGTCGCTAATTACTTACAAGTATGTTTCCAACAGAGTGTATTAGAGACAAAAAAACTGGTCACAAATTTATCATTTTTAATGATGAATTTGTTTTTATCTCTATTGGTAGCTTCTTTGACAAAAAAATTTCGTCTTCGTTTGTATTAAGCGTGAAAAAATTATTTCGTCTCTATTTCTTATATTTATGATGAAATACTTTTGTCTCTAACTTCTTCCTTTAATGACGAAATATTTTGTCGCTAATTACTTACAAGTATGTTCCCAACAGAGCGTTTTGGAGACAAAAAAATTCGTCACAAATTTATCATTTTCAATGACGAAATTGTTTTTTCGTCTCTACGACCCTTTAGCGACAAAACGGGTGACGAAAAATTTTCATCGTAATTAGTTTGGGTGACGAAATATATATATTTTGGGACAAATTTGTTTCGTCTTTAAATCCCAAATTTGTTGTAGTGGCTCTTATATTATTGATGAATTGAAAACTCCATTAGAAGTATGCAAGGAGTGATCTTTTCTCCTTGGTTTTCCCTTTCCTTTCCTTTTTTGTTTTGTTTTTGTTTTTTGTTTTTTGTTTTGTTTTTTTTTTCTTTTTCTGATAGTATTGTGCATACAATGCATTCTATTCTAATACATGGTCACCTTTTGAAAAACTTGGCAAAAATTCACAAATAACTATGAATCAAATAACTAAAAACTTCGCAATTCGAATCGTACGATTCGATTCAATTCGGTGGGTAATCGATACGAAAGGGTTGTATGAATCGCAAATAACTATGAATCGAAGGTGAATCGGTGAACCGAATTGTTGAATCGTGAATCAATTGGATTTGCTAAAATCGATGTTTTGCTTTCTTTTTTGGTTTTTTATTGTTGGATAAGGGTTCACAAAACCTTAATCAAAGCCCATTTTATTTTGCACCCTGTTTTTAGTGATAATAATTCCTATAATCTATTAAATGCTGCTACTGAGGATGAGTTTTAATAGCAAAAACAAAAATTTTAAACATTTTAAAAATTTTATCAAATGTTAAACAAACTAAAATTTTGTATTGTGTTTTTTTCTTTAATAATCAATTGGGTTTCAACACATACGAACAGTTAAATTATTGATGAAAAATGATGTAGATTTCTATGATAGTATTTAAATTTTATTCTATCCTTTTTAATGTATATTGAAGACAACAGTTAAATTCTGTAGTAGTTCAATTTCTCCATCTGTGATATACATGCACATACGAACTTCTTAAAGTAGGTTGTTAACTAAAATATGTTATGAGGTTGTTAATTCTGTGTCAATTAATTTTTCTTTATGGCAATTATTAAACCTCATTCTGCCTTCTTACAGTTATATTCCATGTCAACAATCATTTTTATTTCATCTTAATCAAATGGGTTGAGGTTCTCATTAATCATTAATGGTCATATTCTTATTCGTTAAATATGAAAATATATTCGTGTACATTTTTAGTATTGAGGAGTGCTCTTACTAATTGTATTTTTTTTTATCCTTCTGTCTCAAATTTCTTTAATTTTGCTTCTCAAGCAAATACTCAGGTTAGGAAGTCCCTCCCTTGAAATTCTTTTTTAGTTCCTTGCTTTCTTTTTTGAATTGCAGTGGGTTAATGAATGTTTTGGATTAATGAATGAACTCTCTCAGATTTATTTAATGCTCTGGAATTTTCATGTTTGGTCTTCGAATTTTCAATAATTAGATTGCACATTAAGCTTTTAATGTTTGGTTTAGAAAGAAGTCTAATATAGTGTGTATAGTTATGTATCTTGGTATACAGCTATTCAATTTCTACAAAATATCATTTTTTTTATTTATTTTTTTTTTATAGTTGGAACGTATGATGAATTATGTGAATGCTTATGTCTTTCTTTTTTTTTTAATAATGATATGCAAGTTCATTTTTTATACCCATTTTATAGGCCAAGTGATGTGTCAAGAAGATGATTCGTTGATAATTAGATAATATTTAATTATCAACCAGTCCTCTTCTTCACATATCACTGGACCTATAAAATAGGTCTAACTTAAAAGCTTTTGTTACAAGTTCATTTTTTTTTAAAATTTTCAAGTTCATATTTAATTATCAACCAGTCCTCTTTTTATAGTTACAAGTTCATTTTATTTTTTTTTTCTACAAACATTTGTTACAGTTTAATTTTGTAATATGATAGGTCTTTTTTTTTTTCCATCTCTCTTAGGCTGTATTTGGATTTAGGTTTTGAAAGGAATTTGTTGATTGAAAGGAAAAGGGAACATTAAAAAATTAACCCTTTTAATTTGATGACCCTTATTTTTTTTGCTTTTAGTGAATTCTTTTTAATTTGGTTTTTTTTATTGAATTGCTATTTTAAAATGTTTAGGCTTCTCTCTCTTTAAAAAGAGTCCAGTTTATTTAGCTTTTTCAATTTTGTTTTTGGAATTTTTCAAACAAAAAAAAAAAGACTTTTTATATGTTTATCAGGACTTTTGAAAAAACTTAAACTTATTTTAAAATTTTGTTGTAATAATTTTTTAATGATTTTTATGAGAGTATTACTTCTTGGAGTAAATAAGCTATCGTGTAGTATAATTTTGTAATATGATAGGTCTTTTTTTTTTTTAATCTCTCTTAGGCTGTATTTGGATTTAGGATTTGAAAGGAATTTATTGATTGAAAGGAAAATGGAACATTAAAAAGTTAACCCTTTTAATTTGATGACCCTTATTTTTTTTTTTGCTTTTAGTGAACTGTTTTTAATTTGATTTTTCGTTGAATTGCTATTTTAAAATGTTTAGGCTTCTCTTTCTTTAAAAAGAGTCCAGTTTATTTAGCTTTTTCAATTTTGTTTTTGGAATTTTTCAAACAAAAAAAAAGACTTTTTAGATGTTTATCAGGACTTTTGAAAAAACTTAAACTTATTTTAAAATTTTGTTGTAATAATTTTTTAATGATTTTTATGAGAGTATTACTCCTTGGAGTAAATAAGCTACCAACCCTTTTAATTTGATGACCCTTATTTTTTTTTTGCTTTTAGTGAACTGTTTTTAATTTGATTTTTCGTTGAATTGCTATTTTAAAATGTTCAGGCTTCTCTTTCTTTAAAAAGAGTCCAGTTTATTTAGCTTTTTCAATTTTGTTTTTGGAATTTTTCAAACAAAAAAAAAGACTTTTTAGATGTTTATCAGGACTTTTGAAAAAACTTAAACTTATTTTAAAATTTTGTTGTAATAATTTTTTAATGATTTTTATGAGAGTATTACTCCTTGGAGTAAATAAGCTACCGTGTAGTATAATTTTTTATGATGTGTATTGAAAAAAACATTTGTAATTATATAGATAATACAAAAGGTATTTGTAATTTTCCAATTACAGTGTGGTGAGCCCTTTTAAGCTAGAGTTGAAAGTGGGTTGTCCTATAATTTTGTTAAGAAATATTGCACCAAAAGATGGACTGTGCAATGGCACAAGATTGATGGTTTCTAGATGCAATACTCGCATAATTGAAGCTCAAATTTTAACTGGAGAAAAATTTGGCAATTTGGTATTCATACCAAAGATATCCTTGACACTGTCTTCTTCAGAAATGCCTTTCCGAATGACAAGACGTCAATTTCTAGTTCGATTGACATATGTCCTGACCATTAATAAATCTCAAGGGTAATCTGTGAAATTTGTTGGAGTTGATTTGCGCACACCAGTATTTAGTCATGGGCAATTGTATGTGGCCTTATCTAGATGCACATCTTTTGATCGTATAAGTGTCCTCCTTCCTAATGATGAGTCATATTCTACTACAAACATTGTTTATCCTGAAATTTTGTTATAGTGTTACTTATGGATCAAACCACTTTTGTCAAAAGGTACAATTTATTTATTGATAAATTTGTTTCTATTGATTACAAATTGTTATTTTTAAAATATTTTACTACATGTGTCGATTTTTGTAGGATTGGGTTAAAAAATATATGGAGCTCAAAAAGATAAATACAACTGGATTGCTTCAATGGGGATGTAACAAGGTAATTTCAATTTGAAAGTGTTTTGATATATTTATATAAATTTTCTTGATGAAACATACTAACTTTTTTTATTTTTATAAATTAGTAGATTGTTGTGCATGCTCCTTACTGGGGATACATACAAGTTGATACAAGGACTTTTTGGAAAGTGATGAGGCGCTCCTAGGATTTCTAAGAAAGAACAAGTTTGAATCTCATATTTATTTTTGTGAAAAGCGTACATATGCTAGCTACGATCCATATTTTGTAAAGTTTCCGATCGATGTGAAATTTATTATTTACAATAGTTTTGTAAAGCCTTTTATCTATGTGAAATTTATAACTAAGTTTAGATGTATGTTAGATAATATTCATTGGAATTATTGACTTATGCTATGAGTTTGTTTTTGTAAATGTAACACACTAGGTGATACAGTCTTTTTTGTTTTTTTGTTTTTTCTTCCTAATATGTTCTTGAATTAGGTTAAAGAAAACTAATAATATTTTTATTTGGTTGAATTTGAATTTTTGCTTCCATATATCTTTTTTATCAGGAAGGGTGTTGCATTTTCTTTGTATTACAGAACATTGGCTGGTGTGCTTAAAATTATTTGAATTTTTTTTTGTATTGCAGAGCACTGGCTGGTGTGCTTAAATTGTTATTTGGCATGTTTTTTGTATTGCAGGCCATTGGCTGGTGTGCTTAATTTGTTGTTTATTTTTTTCTATTGCAGAACATTGGCTGGCGTATATAGATGTTTCTGTGTTGTGGGACTTACATTTTGTTGTTTGTTTAAAATCTTATACTTTTGTTGTGCTTGAATTTTATGTAGAATTTATGTGTTTACTTTTCACTATTTCGTTTACCTATAAATTTGAAAATTTTATGTTTAAATTGATTTATTCACCAAGTAGCATACAATTTATTTATTTATTTTTCATTTATTTAATTTTCTGCACAATAAACTGACCACCAAACCATAAAAATTGGTAGATTTTAACCATTACATTAAAATTGATGCAAAACTATAGCTATGAGATCTCTCTTCTTTATATCAACCAAAACTCACTATCTAAAAAAATGTGAATATAGAAATTTATTTGAGTACTGTTATTGGCTAGGATAATAAAATACTTATTTTCTATTACAACAAAAATACTACAATAGTAAATATTTTGTGATATGATCTTTATTTGCATTTGTGTCATCACTATTTTCACATTTTCTTGGCCAAGGTAATAACTGTGTCATCACTATTTTTAATTTTTCCATCTCTCTAAATTTTATAATGCAAAATATTTAAATTGAGTGGATTTGAAAAGTGAAAAATATTGATTAAAATATTAAAAATTTCACTAAAAATAATAAAATTAAAATTAAAATTTTACAAACTATTTTTGGAAACTCTAGAACCAAGTAAGTTTTGAATTTTAAATTTGTAAAAATTATTTTTAATTTTTAACATATACAACCAAACAAATTTTTGAGTTTGACAAACTCTTTTCAAAAATCTAATTATAAAATTCATTTGAAAATCCACAACCATACGGATCATCTATTTATATTTTCACTTCAAATTTTTTTTCCCAACAAATTAAATAAATTACATTTTAACCCAACATTTTTATATTCAATTACATTTTCATTCCAACAGTATTTTCACTGTGCCTTCAGGCACGGGCATACCCTAGTATATAACTAAAGTTCGGAACCGGAAAACACGGCTTGTTTGGTGTGATTTTTATAATTTAATTTTGAAAGATAAAAGTGTTTATAAAATTTAAAAATTTATTTAGTTGTTTATTTTGAAAATAGTTTTTATAAATTTGAAAATAAAAACTTACGTGTAGGTTTTAATAGGTAAACTTATTGTCTAATATGTCTTATGATAATTAATGATTTTTTCTCATCAAATACTATTATAAGACGTCACTAATTGTTAATTTTCAGTGACAGTTTAAAAATTTGTCACAAAAAAGCCACTAATTATAAGTTTTTAACGACAGTTTAAAAAATTTGTCACAAAAAAGTCACTAATTTTTAACTTTCAACATCAATTTGAAAAATTCATTACAGAAAAATATCACTAATTGTACGTTTTAGGCACAATTTATAAAACCTTGACAAAAAAAAGTCACTAATTGTTAATTTTTAGCGACATATTCAAAAAATCGTTACAAAAAATTATTTTTAGTAATGATTTTATTAGGACTTATATTTAATAGGATTTAATGGAAATTAAGTCCAATTATTAGGATCTATTGGTAGTTTACCTATTTGGAAATCTAATATTCATTTGGTTTTGAAATTTTGAAATAATTTTTAAAACTGTCAAAAATAATTTTTGAGTTTTCAATCTGTATTTTATTATTTTAAGTGATTTTTTTTAATATTTTAATCAAATTTTTTAATTTTAGATTCACTCAATCTAAATATGCTAAAAAATCATAAAATTTATGAATTTTTATTTATTTATTTATTTTTTAATAAAGAATCACTAAATACTAACAAATACCCCCCCCCAAAAAAATATATATATAAAAATACAAAAATTTAGTGAGAGTTGTTAAAGGAGATGAGCTACTACTCCCATATGACTGACCGGTGAGAGCTTGGAAGAGCGAATTCGTCTTGGGATGTCACAAGAGTGTTATGATTGTTCGAAGAGGTGGGATTTATAATTTTATATTGAATGACTAAAAAATATGAAAAAATATAATGATTTGTGATTGATGAATAATATCGTAACATGGCGCCTCTGACCCAACCAATAATTTTTCTGGAAGAGTTGAGGAAATGTGTTGTAAGCTATGTCTAGTCAAAAGTTAGAAAATCTCAACTCTTGTATTGAGAAGTTTATTTTGAGTTGAGCATTCTATTATATACACTCTTATATTATATAGATCTCTAGTTACGTCATTTTTTACTTTAGTTATGATTAATTTTCTTTTTTAGTTATAACATTATTTTGAGATATTTGGTTATGACTTTTTTGTGTTTAGTTATAACTTTTTATTTTTTATTTTTTATTTTAGTTATGACTCAGAAAGTATAGAGTTAAGCTATTTTCTTATGTAGTTATAAGGTGGATATGATACTTAGCGCTTAAGGTGTGTTTACCATAATTTTTCCCATTTTGAATTACTGTGTTTTAAGAAGTGATTTTGAGTTGTGTTAACCAAACAAGTTACGGTTTTTTATTTTTTTTTTTCTTCTAATAACTAAACTCAAACCAAGCGGAGTGACGGATGTTTAAAACAAATACGGAATGAAATAGTAACATTATCTGATATGATATTGGCCTTATTTGAAAAGTTTGTTATTTTAGTAGGTTATTTTAGGAGTATTTTGAGAAGATGGTTAAAAGTCATTTTTCCAATTTTTAACCTATTTTGAGTTATATCAACTCTCGCATTTTTCATACGTTTTTTCAAAAAAAGTCATAAAAAGTAAAAAAGTTAGCTTTTAATCATATTCTCAAAACAGCATTGTATGCTAAAATTTTTGTGTTTGAGCCGATGGTTTGATTTTTTTGTAATTAGATATGATGTTTGTGAGAATAAAAATGAAATGATTGTAAATTTGATGTGATATTTTATCTTATTGACTATTTTAATCTATTTTATATTTTTTCAAACAAGGTCATTATAGACTAATAAAATATATGAAATTGAGTCATCAACTCTTATTATTAATATCCAAAAATAATTTTAATAGAACAAAGTAATATCAGGAATAAAAATAGTCTTACAAAGCCTTGCATACATGGGAAAAGAAAAATGGTTAGACGTCCTTGAAGTCACACACGGGTGTAAAAAGTCCAAGCAAATGTACCATGTTGACTCTAAACTCAGGAAATTTGAAAAATCAGTTTATAATTTTAACAATTATATATAAATAGTCCTTGTGTAAATACTAGCAAACAAATAAATGAATGAAAAATGTTTGGGAGCTCTAAATTGGGAACACTAAAGGAGCTCTAGAGAGTAAGTCTCACTGACTGATGTGATGTTTTGCCCTTAAATTTTTTTTTTTTTTTTAAATTTCCACCTCATTAGTAGCCATTAGTACTCTTAAATTAGTAAGATGTATCATTGTTGTAAATGAATTGTGAGTACATGTCTCTTTACTCATAATTTTTATTTTTATTTTTTCAAATGCTAGGTCCTATCTTAGCGGCTCACCTACTGCCCTCCCTTCCTTAATGAACTTTCAAATACCTCAGACTAATTTTTAACAAACTGCAAATGTGGCCTCCTGGTCAACGCGTCGTGACTTGTAAAGCAATATGTTGTGCGTTTGAGCCAATCGACCGGTTTCTTTAATCTTTAACCAACCACCAGTTTGAATTGTTTCATAACAGACTAATTTAGTAATTTTTTAATTATTTAGTTAAAATAAGAATTAAAAAAAATTAATATGTTTGGGATAATTTTTTGACTTTTTACAAAAAGATGTACAAAAAGTAGAGAGAAAAGAGAATCTTTGACTTTTTGGTATGAATTTTTAACTTTTTAATTTTTTTAATAACTTTTTGACTTTTTGACTAAATGGACTGGTTTCCAAACGAGCCCTATAAGTTTTTCCCTGGTTTAACAAAAATAAGTCAATTTTCTATTAAAAATGAGTTTGGTGGTTCATCCCAACTAAAATCTAAATCGGTTAACAGGTCAATTAATTGAACAGGTTAATCTGATATGACTTTTAGAACATTGATTATGCATACAACAGGACTTGTTTGTTTGGAAATACATTTATTTGATGAGTGTACTTGTTTGAATCATTTAGTTTTTTTTTTTTGGTATATATTTTTATGAAAAGTCAAAAATAGGCTAAAGCAATCTCCAAACATTGGGATTTTATTATCAAGATAATAAATTTTACAAAAAAGTACAAACAAATGGACCTTAATTGTTTTTTAAAAAAGAAAAAAAAGAAAAGAGTATTATCAATATCATAATTACAGGAAGCAATTAGGAAATCCAAGAAAAGTAACAATTAGTTAACTATGATCTGACTGATGAAAAGCCCATAAAATGACAATAACATTTTCATTGGATAATTAAAATCTTGAGATAGAGTAAATTTATTTTCTTTTTCTTTCCCCAAACAAATTACAAATTTACGAGTTTGGTAGCTATGCAAATAAATTTTTTTGCAAAGATTTGGACGACAACTCTATCTACCATATAGCGTTGTTATGGTTACATCGTTTGATGAAGAATCTTTGTCAGTTATAACTTATAACCCTTTTTAGAGCAAAAGTCAGGTTGTTTAGGTATTATTTTGGGCTGATTTTGAGCCCAAATTTGAGTGGGCCCCGAACGTTTTTTGGGGTGGGTTCGAAGAGGTGAAGTGTTCCTTGCCGCGTGGCAAGTCACACGGTGAAGACGGAACGTCAA